AGGACTGTCTCTTAAGGACTGGCTTTAGAGGTCTTCTTCATGGGGGTCTCAAAACTTGGATGTCATGCTGCTATATTGCCTTCAAAGAACATACTGCCCCCATGCCTGCTCTGAGAACATGTTTGAGTAATTTTTTAGGTTTGAGTATCGAAACCTAGAATAGAAAACTTGTCATTTTTCCCAGTTAATTTTCATAAGTTTTGTTGATTATTAATGATTGGAAATGACAAGTGATCGGAGATTACTTCTAAACATTTTCTTAATTTTAATCCACTGGTTAACAATAGTATCTTTACTATGGACTTTAAAAAGTGATTCTCTCAGTTTTTTTAAGGCTAGGAAATACAGAAAAATTATTAATCCAGTTATTTCTGGGTTAAACTCTAATCCAGGAAGGGACTTCATTTTTTTTATACAATTACACATTTTTTATAATTGTATAAAGTATTTATTACATTTATTTTTTTTAAACTTCATATTTTAAAAAATAAGAAACTTTAAAATAAATCTTTGCTATATAAGCTTAACCACTAATATTTCTACTCAATTGTAGAATATTATTTCTCAAACTTCATTGTGCGTCAGAATCACCTGGAGGGCTTGCTAAAACAAGATTGTGGGCCCACACCCAGAGTTCCTGATTCAGAAGGTTTGGGGTGGGGCTGAGAATTTATATTTCCAAAAAGTTCCTAGTTAATGCTAATGCTGCTGGCTTGGCGACCATATTTTGAGAACCACTATTATGTAAAAACAGTTTCTCGGAAGTACATTCATATTGCTTTACAAAAACAAGCAATTATAAAAGTCACATACTCAAAATCATTAGAAGTCTTAATGATTCTTAGATTGGGAATTTGTTTGTTAAACTAAATATATGAAACTCATTTTAAGGTACTAAAACTTGGTCCTAAGAATAATATACTTCTTCCACTTTCAGAATAGAAGTTTGCCATGTTTCCATAACCAACAGTTATGTTATCAAGTAGTTATATTAGCATTATGGTAATTTAAGTTACCTAGAGTAAGACTTTAAAAAAACAATATGTTAACTATCCCAAGGGAGAATATGCTAATTGGGGAAACCTGAGACTGAAAGTAATTGTATTCATTATCAAACCAATGGAATTCCATGTCTCTCTCCAGGACATCTAAAATAATCACCCAAATAAGTCTCTGTTAGTATATATTCATAAGCCTAAGATTAAAAAAAAATCATTGGAAACCATTCATTTGGATTGTGAGTCTTAAGGCAGCCAATCTGGTAGCAGCTTTTAAGTCCTATTTCATTAGGGTTTAAGAAGGGCTGATAAAAGAGTTTTGTAATCTACAAACTTGTTATCAGGGGTTGGGGAGAGGTAGACCTAATCTTGACACTTTATTTTTAAGAGTTACATCTGGCTCATCTTGGTGCTCTGAGTTAATTGGGAAAATAAATAGGCATTAATGGATGCCAATCCAGGATTCACGGAAGAACACAAAACATGGTTGTTTCTTTTTTCCTTTGCTATTCATCTTTCATGACATATGATAACTCAGGGAAGTCACATTGTCCTAGGTCAAGTAATGCCAGACTGACTAGGTACTTCCATCCATGTGCCATTCTACCCACTCTACCAGTTTGACACGTTGTAGGAGTTGTTTTGTCATGTGACCCCTAGAATAGTCTGTACCACTAAAATTATTCTTACCAACTGCTAATGAAGTGAATGATGATCAACAGTCAGATAGGTGGGTTTTTGGTGATGTGATCAAGGGATTAAGTAGAAAGATGAACGGAGCCAGGCAAAGTTTCCATAGTGCATTTAGCCTTATGTCTCTCTCTTTCCAAATATCCCAAATGGGTATACTTTGCACAGTGTTTGAACAAAATTTCCCCAATTGCATTAGTTAAGTAATCTGATATCTTAGAACAGCATTGTTAGGAACACAGCGTTGCCAAGCTCCCATATCTGTTTTCTCTCTGGCAAAATCTTAATGGCAAGTTGATTCTCCTCTTGATGTGTCACTGATAATGTTCATATGATAACTATTTGGGACGTAGAGAGATTGTCTTTGTGAATCATTATTGTGTGTATCTTGCTTCTATGACAGTATTTTAAAACATGCTTCTCAGGAATGTGATAGGTAGAGGCTACCTATGAAAATATAATATACATTTTAGAATATTTAATTAAAATAACAAAAAATATTTAAGTCTGTAAGGGAAGCAGCAATTCTAGAGTGAGTAGTAAATTCATATAAATATGTTTTTGAAGCTATATAAATTCTTACCTAATTTTATTTAAAAATACTTTATTATTTTGTATTTTTTATTTTATATTTTATTTATATTTTAAGATAAGAATTTTTTTCTGTTAAAATAGTTTCTATTTCAGACTTTTCACTATTGAAAAGGCTGATTTTTCTTTCAGTCAAATACAATTAAGATCAGTTAATTAAGATCAATACAAATCTTAGGTTTTATTGCAGCGTTTCATCTACACATGGTTTTTTCTAGATAATTAGATAATATGAGGAAGGGTAATAGTATTCATCCACCTCCAAAGTGGATGTTCTTTATTTATGGATTATTTCTGCTCCACTTTGTTATATAAGAGATGTAAGATGGTTATAATAATGTACACAATGCAGAAAATAAAAAACTTTAAGTTAGAATAAAATAAAATTAAAATAAGAACACAAAGGAAAAATATGAGGTTTGAGGTTGGTGCGCACAATTCATACCATGAAGTACTCTATTAATTTGGCTGTAAATTCTGTCAAATTGAAGATGAAAACATACAGTGAAGAACAGGGGTTCATCCTTTTATCTCCTTCAAATCATTCAAAAATATTCCCATTATAAACATCTCTCTTTACCTAAAGAGATTCTCAAAGGTTCTGAGATGGAGGCGGGAAGAGTGAAGGGATAGCAGAAAGAGTGAAGGGATAGCAGAAAGTGTAAAAATTGAAGATGCCCAGTTCTGGCATACCTTCTGAGGAAGTTATTTCCACTATAAGACTGATTGATTTGTAGGAATCACATAATTCATAAGATCAAATAGAAACAAATTGTTCAGGGAAAGTACTATTAGTCCTAGTATTTAAACCAGAGATTTCTCCTGTGTGTCCTCATGGTGCAGGCAATGTGGGCACTCTGAGTGCTGTTCACAACATCCTTATTATGTACCAGGCAAATAGATTGCGTAAGCATCAGGAGTAAAGGAGTCAGAAGAACAGTGTATGAGCTTGAGCGAGGTCTCTGCTGGTACTGTACAGGCCTCTGTAACTCAGTATCACTAATGCTATATCAAGTTGGCCAGAAGCCTTAGAAGCAGGACTTATGCTTCTGACCTCTTTGGAAATGTGTAAGTTAATTTTTTACTTCAGATCCACAGTAATCCATAGCAGCACTAGACCTTGTTTTTAAAACTTATGATTATAATTTCATCGCAGTTCTTAAAAACCTGGTCAGAAAGTGTATAACCCTAATATACCTCCTGTGCAGTAAGCATTCTAGGATTTGAAGAGATACTCAGGTAGGTTTGAGTATCAACATTGCCTTGGGTGTTTGTTAAGTAATTATAACCAGCACCATTTCTTTAATGTGAAAAAGAAGCTTGTTAAGTCAACATGGCATCATTTAATTTAATCAATAGACAATTTTTCTCACTCAGTCTTATCTAAACCATAAATGCCTAGAAATTGTTTATGTATATAAAAGTATAGAATTAATCTAAATTGAAGCTTTCCAATTACAATAAATCTTCCTATCCCAAAAAGATCTACTTTATTGTGATATTAATGGCAGGAAAACCTCTTGAACTCATCTCCATCATCCAATTCCTACTTAGTCTCTAAATGTCTGTATTTCTGTGCTGCATTCTGGGTGAATTTCTCAGTACCAGCTTCCAATTCATAAATTATCTTTTATTGTGAACAGTGTGGAGTTTATCATGTCTGTTGACTTCATTATTCAATTACTATATTTCATTCAAGATTTCTGATTCTTTTAAACATCTATTTGTTCCTGTTTCATTTCTGCCTATTTTTGTTTCACATTTTCTTGCTCATCTTAAATGGAATATATTCATTTGTATCTGAGCATATTAAACATACTTATCTTAAAATATTTGAAATTTTTATATAATTAATTTCATCCATAAATTTGTTTTAATTGTTGATTTTATTGTCTTTCGTAGCATTAAATTTCTTCACATTTTAGAATTTGGTTTGCAAACTCAATTTCAGGTTAAAGTTCTTGTTTGTTCTTTCTTTCATATGCCCTCTCTTAACTTTCGATCCTATCCCTGCCTAAAAGTTTTGGGATTACTTGCCTTTCTAATTCCTGAGTCCTGTATTGAGATTGTGAATATCACAGATCCAGTCACTTGTTAGGTTGCCTGTGTCTTCATTCCTGGGGCTTACAGCTAGTTACAGCTGCCATAACTTCAAATGGTAGTTAAAAGAGTTTTTTCCTTATCCCAGCCTCCTTTGCCACTTCGAGGAGCCTCGTCCTTGTCCCAGCTTTAGGCAATAAATCTAGCTCTGCCCCCATCTCACATAGCACACTCTTAGTCTCTCCTGCCCCGTAGGAGTTGTATTCACTGCCTGTTCTGGACTCAGAACTAAGCAAGTTGTTGTTTCAGCCCTACTCAACATTTTTTGTTTCTAATGTTATATTTCGTTTTTTTAGCTTGATAACATCATTTTGGTTTTCTGTTTATATATTTCTCCTATCATTGATATGTGTTTGATGCAAAGGTGGTACATTAGTGTATGAATTTATGGAACCATCTTAACTGGAAATTACTGATACACTTTCCAAACTGCAGCCAGTATTATACTTTCAAAATGAAAATCTAATTATGTCAATATCCTGCCTCCTATCACTCTTAGGATAAAGATACAAGTCCTTGGTAGTCAAGGTACTCCAAACCATGACCACAACCAACCCTTTCAATCTTATCTCCTGTTACCAAACAAGTAAGCTGTTTTCTAGCTACTAGTGGTCTACTTACCATTCTTCAAGTCTGCCTTCATTTTCTGCCTCCAAATGCCAGTGGCTCAAACCATTGCCTCTGCTTAGAATATCCTCCCCACTAACTGCCGGATAAGTTCATCTCAGATGCCACTTTGTTCATAAAGCCTTTCCCTGATCTTATCTGCACCACTTACAGTGTTAATATGTTTCCTTCCTTATTCGTTTATGTCTTATAACACTTAGGTTGTACGTTTCTTGAGGGCAAAGGCCATATGGTCATTTCCAGAACCACATAAGTCACTTAATATTTGTTGAACTGAATTTCGGCACAGATAATTAAACTTATTTTTGCTGATTTGTAGAAGATACCAATTTTATTAGAAGGTAATCTGCACAACTCTGTAAGATAGGTACTGCTATTATTTCTATTTTACAGTGAGGAAACTAGGGTGAGGAAGATTAAGTTAGCTTGTCATATTGCTAATAAGTAGTAGGATCATTATGTAAGCTAGGTGGTCCATTCCACAGCCTGCTCTTATACTGCCATCATGATTTGGGTCTCAAGCTACTAGATAATTCTTTTTTAGAAATATATTTTGAAAATAAAGATATCAGTTACACAGCTTATTGGATAGCTTAAGCTAACTGGGTGATAGAAAGTAAGGATAAGTTTTAGAAAATAGAAAATTTAAAGGTTGACTATTTATTCACTTCTACAAGCAATTCTCTGCAACATCAGCTGGATGTCCTACAATTGAATTTAATTCTGACACTAACTGAAGTTACTGCAGACCCCATAGGTTAAGGGCTCAGTCCCACAAGATTCCTCGTCCTCTTCAGATACCAGTTGCAAGTCCCAGGTTGTCACCCGTACTTCTGACTGACCAACTATAAATTGGAGGCTTCCATGACCCCACTTTGAGTTCCAATCTTTGTAGAATGGCTTAAAGAACTTACTTTTATAACTTACTTGTATAACTGATTTATATAATAAAGCATATGACAAAGGATGCAGATGAATAGCCAGATAAAGAGATAATACAGGGCAAGGTCTGGAATGGTCCTGAGTTCAGGAGCTTCCATTGTTGTGGAATTGGGGCATGCCACCCTCCCAGTACACTAAATGTGTTCAACCTAGAAACATTCTGAAGCCCATACTTTTAGGATTCTTATGGAGGCATTATCACATAGGCATAAGCCATCATTAACTCAATTTCTAGCCCCTCTTCCCTTTCTGGAGGATGTGGTTGAGGGGTGTGGTTGCAAATTCTAAGTTTCTAATCATGGCTTAGTTTTTTGGGTGACCAGCCCACATTCTGTAACTATCCAGGGAGCTACCAAGAATCACCTCATTAGAACAAAAATTACTATCACCCAGGAAATTCCAAAGGATTTAGGAGCTCTGTATCAGAAACTGGGGTCACAGACCAAATATTAAAATAAAAGATGCCCCTGATGTTCTTATCATTTAGGAAATTACAAGAGTTTTAGGAGCTCTGGGCCTGGAACCAGGGGCAGAGGCCAATGTACTTTCTATAATTTTGTAAGTAGTAAAGGAAATTGAGACAGTAAAGTGGGGAGGGTAGAAATAGGGCAGAATTTGGAGGGGTGATGAGGTATGTGGTCAAGTGAGGGAAGATCCACATGAGGGGTTGAAGCTGACTATGTAAGAAAGAAAGAGTGAATGATAAAGTGGACAGTGATAGGGTCCAAAGCTTAGGTGGAGGAATTAGCTAAAACAGAAGGTGTGGAGGGAAGAAGAACACAAAGTATGTAGATGTTTTTTAGAGGAGGATATATTATTTGACTATAGAATTTTTTTTTTTTTCACAGAGCATTTTGGAGAACATTCTACTTCAAAATATACCTGGGAACCAGGTGCTGTAGGTGTAAAAAATAAAAAAAATAAGGAACTGTAAGCTGACAGGTTCTTGCAATCTGTGAGGTCAACCAAGGGTTGCTTTGCCTAAAAAATAAAAAATAAATAAAATAAAATAAAATAAAAATACACTTGGGGAAATATTGCCTTAAAGCACAGCTATCTTCTGAATAGTCTAAGTCATCAGTTACTATTCACTTGTTATATGAGAAGCCACAACAGATATTCAGAGTTAATTGGGGTTTTTTAGTACCTTTTAGAATAAATTAAAAGTAATTTTAGATAGTAAAATGTACTTTGTACTTTAAGATTAGTCTACAAGAGCAAAAAAATTGTATATTAATATAGATTTAAATCTTATTCAGTTTTGCTTGATCTTGCTAATAATAACATTCAGATATCAGTGTAAGGCTGTTCTTTTGATAGAATTAATCGTTTTGTCATTGTGTTGAGGCAAAATATACGTGTGTGTGTGTGTGTGTGTGTGTGTGTGTGCGCGCCTCGAAAATCAAGCAAGAACACCCTAAGATTTTTTATTGAACTGGTTCATTGAATTCTGGACCCCTAAATATGTATACCTATGTAGTTATCTTAAGCTTTGTATTTCACAAATGGTATCTGTTATCTCCTTTAATCTGGCAACCACAAAAAAACCTCCTGCAGAGAAACAGTTTATAGTTTTAGGTAACATTCTGCTTACTTACCTTTCTCTTTTTTAATTTTTTTTTAAATTAAAAAAAAATTTTTTTCTTTCACTTGAAGTCTTTGTTAAAAATGATACTCATGCACAAGTCGTGTTACTGGGAAGTAATGTTGGGAGAAGATTTGTGAAAGAAATAAGAAAATAATTTTTTCTGCTGAAAAAGAAATGGGTCAATGAGACCACAAGATCTAACGTTTCATTTGGTGTGCTCAAATTGAAGGCATATGGCAAGACACCTGCCTCCCTAGTCACGAAGTTACCTCTTAAGAATACTGTTAAGTTTCTTTAACAAATCACATTCTAGTCACTTTATGACTTTTTGAGAGCTGTTACTGTGGGCCAAAGATACCAAATGCATTCAGTCTGTTTTCACTGATCCCAGCTGTGTTGATCAGAATGTTCTAATCATTTTATTCCTTAAATATTTTTTGAGTGCCTCCTCATTTTAAGGCCTTGTGCTGACTATAGCAAAAGTAGAAAGGTGGAAAAAGCATAGTCTCTACCATAAATGATTTTATAATCTCTTAGGGGAAATAAGAAAAAAGATAAATGTCTGTGATAGAAGACAGAATATGATCATTATGTTAATTGTACCAGTAACTCTGCACAGGAACTGCAAGTAACATTTCTTAGATTTCTTAGATTTTCCTATAGTTCAAGTTAGTCTTTCTATCTAGTTGCTCAGAAATAGTAAATGTTTATGGTATTTCCAGTTAATTTATTCATAATGGCCCCAGAATCATTTGTTCTTTTTAGTTTTAGCTAACATTTATTAAGAATTTCACATGTGCCAGTAACTGTTCTGAGTACCTTACATACATTATCTCATTTAATCCTCACATTAGTCTTATAAAGTATTATTTTCATTTTTCAGATGCAGAAACTGAAGTTTAGAGAAGTCAAGAAATTTGCCCATGATAAATTTCCAGCTAGTAACTGTCAGAAATTACATTCAAACCCAGGCTTTCTGACGCCAAAGCCTTAGCTCCATGATACTGTATTATATTCTCTCTC